TTTTTTTGAAGTTGTTACAACAAGCAAACGGAAAGGACATTCTTGGGGGGGAGGGGAGAGAGGGAGGAGGGCGGGAGGTGTCAGTGAAGGGCCATAATAATCATATACATTGTATATTGACAAAATAAAAATTATAAATAAATAAATACCAAATGGTTGTATATATTTTTAAAAATATATATGTATATTTATGAAGAGTTTTTTTTTTTTTACATACCATAGATTTTCCCGGTTTTGTGTATATTTGGCCCTCCTGTTTATGTTACTCAGAAAAATTATGAAGCTCTTTCAGATTGCAAAGATCAAAGACGTGCTTAGGTTTTTAATAAGAATAATTATAATGCCTAAAATGTATTAAGCACTTACTGTGTGTCAGGCACTGTGTTAAGGTCTTTACATGCATTATTTTATGTAATCAGCACCACAACCAATGGGGCTGGTGCTTTTATTTATTCACATACTATAGGTGCGGAAGTGGGCTCAGAGAGACGAATCACCTCACTTAGAGTCACATTAGTGATGGCAGAGCTCGGATATGAACCCAGCTTGTCAGGGGCCTACGCCCATGACCTGCTGTTACACATTACTTTTCAGTAAATACAGTTTTCTGTAAGGACGCACAGGGAAGTAAACAGCAGGCAAAGAGGACAAGAAAGGAAAAGTGAAGATAATTCATTAATATTCAGGATTCAACAGTGTTTGTAGTTCTGTAGCTGCTTCACAGACAACATAATTCCACTGGTGCACCATGCAAATGACTATGTACCCCATCTTTGCCTCTCTCGGCCGCCTCTTTCTTCTCTCTCCTTTCTTTCTGTTTACCTTGTGACTTCAACTGCCTCATAACTTCTTTTTATGGCTTTTTCACTTTGTGTATTTGTTCTTCTCTGCTTCTATGTCACTGTCTGGCCTCCAGGTTCTCTCTGAATGTCTCCCAGTTGCAGTCCTCTAGGTAGAGTAGATGGTTGAGTTGGCCTAGCTCCATTTATTACCGATGGCTGCACACTAGGGTGCCTCACCTTGGAGACTCATGGCCAGCCCTCAGTTGTCTGCCTCTGGATCAGGCACCAAGCCTTGGATCGTTCAGCCAGGGCCAGGATCACATTGTACAAACCATACATACTTTTTGTAAGACCCCACAGAAGGGGGCCATAAATGGGACTTGAACTCCTAGGCTTCTTAAAGAGGGCAGTGAAAGCCCAAAGTCTTCGTAAGACCTGTCTGGCAAAAGCGGTGAAATTTTTAAAAAGATTTTTAGTGTCTATCATAAAAAATTTAAGATCATAAGATTAAAGCTTCAGCAAATGAAAATATTTGCTAAGGGAAGTTCCTAGCAACAAAATGGCAAGTTATGAAATCTACACATATCTGGGGAAATTCAAACATTTTCTTTTTTTTTTTTTTTTTCCTTTTTGTCTTTTTTCGTGTCCGGCAACGGATCGCAACCCTCAGTGTCGTGCCCGTACCGGACCGGGACCGGCAACGGGATCACAACCCTCGTTTCCCACCTCACTCAGCCAGTGAGCGGGAACCGGTCTGTATGTGGGATCCGAACCCTCGGCGGGAGCAACGCCGCACTTCCCAAGCGGCGCACTATAGCAGTGCGCCACCGGGCCGGCCCCAAACATTTTCTTTCTAACGTCCTTGATTAGGTCAGGACATAAAATTTAAAGTAAATTTGTAGGTACAGCAATAGTGCTGTGTTCAACATCTAATTAGATTTCTTACTGTTTTCCTATACTTGCAAACATTTATTAAATATGTAAGAAGACAGATTTTAAGCTTCCATACATTACCTATTAAATTATAATTGAGTTACAGTCCTGTGTACTTCCCTTCTAGTCCTTTAATATCTTATTATTCATAATTTAGCAGACACTCAATAAATGATATTGCCTAATTAGTCAGCCCTGATACCAATTGAGAAGAAAGTGCAAGTCCAAGAATCTTTTGTATAATACAGAGTTAAGGAGAAGTAATGCTGTTTTTTGATATCTAATGCCTTAATTTCATCTTCTCTGGGTCAAAATAAGGGAATTGCTATTATAAAATTTTATGTCATTCTCTCTTGTTTGTTTCCATTCACACAGTTTGTTAGCTATATCTTTTACCAAAGAAAATATAAGAATGCAGGAAAAAAAAATCTTTGATTTTGCTTTCAGTTTGTCTTCTTTTTTGAGGGCTTCAATACTGCATTTGAAGTCCTTAATCAAGCTCTAGTTTAGTCCTATTTTAATCCTTCTACTTGAGATGTTGGGCTCTAGAACCCTTATTAAGTTGATGAAAGACTACAAAACAAAATAGGGACCCTGTGAAGACAGGGGATCAAACCTGTCCATGAACTTCTTTGTTAGTAGTTGAATTTTAGAAGTGATCTTCTTGTCCTGTCAGCTCACACGAGCACTAGGTCTGGAGAAATTAAATGTCTTCATCCCCATGGTCCTTCAGCTTGCTAGTGGCTTAATACTATAAAATTAGAAGCTAGTAGCATTTTGATGTCTTCAAATATTTGCATAAGTCATCAATTTGAGTTAACAGGTTGCTTTTATATATGACTTGTGAATTCAATCTCGTGATTATTCTATGCACACGTGCTTGCCCAAGCTCACGTGCACACATGCACACACGATGTCTTACAGTTAGCTTTATTATGAAAAATCATTTCCAGAGGTGACCCACCACTGGGATCAGTTAACAGTATGGCTCTTCCTCAATGCTTTACAGGTTACTGAAGAAATCACTCCTGATGCTCCATTCAGGCCATTTTGACCACATCCTTTTCTTCTTTTCTAACTTTTAACTCATGGAAATCCCATGGGATAAGGAACCCATTTTGAGAAGTGTGTTACAGCAACTTTTGAAATGTAGGAAGCTAAGCAATTAGTGTCAGATTTTCCCATGTGGAAAAAAATAAGAAAAGTTAATATATATTACAGAGGTTAGTTTAGGAGGTTCTGTACTGGTGGTATATTATATAAATGATCATTTTTGACAGAGCTACACAGTCCTCTGTGGGAAAACTTTATGCTGTCTTTAAGTCATTAATTGCATATGGCACAGTTTATCTCATAACTTTTCTATTTTGGTTTCCAGTGTATTTTAAAAGCTTTTGAATTTATAAAGTATCTTTGGAAATTTACAGGAATGAAGAGTTTACCAAATATAGTACATTTAATGGGAAAACCAAATAAAACTCAAATGTCATCTTAAGGTGTTTTTGTGGATTTCATATACTAGTCTTAAAGAGGCTCATTGGTTTCTATTTTTTATGATTGAATTTAATTGGTTTCAATATCAGATTAAAGTTTAATAATAAACATGTAATTAGTTGTCATCTGTCAAGCAGTATGCTAGGTGCAAAAACACTGTCTGTGCTCATGTAATCTGTACATACACCCTGTGAGGAATTATGATCCTCACAGGGTAAGGAAACAGAGTCTCACAAAAACTATGATTCATACATAAATATGTGACTAACCAGTGACATTGTAGGGATTATAGATCAAGTTATCTGAACCTCAACTCTATTATACTTTTTAATAAAATTAATTTATAAGAAGAAAATCTTGAAAATACTACCTTATACACATTGTTTTGATTGTTGGAAAATCAGCAGTCTGGATCATTAAAGGAAGATACTGTTGCTGACTCATTAAAGGAAGGTGATGCAGTATGTGGATTAGTGCCATGGACTTTGGAGTGAGGCCAACATGGGGCTCTTTGGCCATGGAGAAATGTCATGACATTGAGTGAAGTTTTATTCTGTTTTGTTTTGTTTTGTTTTGTTTTACTTCCAAGCCTCAGTTTTTTCATCTACTTAATGGTGATAATAAAACATGTTTCATAGGGTTGTAGCAAGAATTAACTATAATACTGAAGGTAGAGCATTTAGCAGAGGACTCAGCAGATAGTATAGATTCTTGGTAGCTAGTAGTAGGAGTAAGAGCAGTAATATAGGAAGGTGATAAACAAATTGGTTAAAGAAAGATTCTCATTGTTGTGTTCAGGGACATATAGAAACTTTTTTATTAATAAAATCATATTGATCTCGCAGAAGATTTTTAGTGATAAACAGTCCTTGAATAGTATATATAACTTTATGTGATGTTTTTAAAAGTATTTTAAAATATGGAGCCAGATTAGAATATTTTCAGTTTAAGGCCATATTTTTATTAGTATTGCTAGCAGAATGGGGATAGTGGCACGAGTAAGTTCTAGATAGTTGAAGAGTCCCCAATCCTTTTTTAAAAAAATATATACAAAAATAATTATATATATTTTTTGAGTCATTGAAAAAAGTTATATAATAATTTATGTTAGAGATGTTTGCCTTTTAGAAATATTGCTGATACATGGATTCTCATTTGGGATTATTCAGGATCAATCTCCAGTTACATACTTATATACATACATAGGTATCCAACTAAAGATTGACTGTATTAAAATAAAATGAAGTTTTTCAGAATCTAAGGATAATCATAGAGCTTCACTTTTTTTATTTCTTGTAGATATTTTAAGATACTCCCCATGTAGGCTTGGTCAAGAAACATCAAAGTATTTAAAGTGATAACCTTGAATATTTGTGTGTATACTATGAAGTCAACAAAGTAGGAAGAACCTGGTGCAAAAATATGAATTTTCACTATGGTCTTTGCAGATCTAATCTGTAATGAAAATGAAATAGATAAATGTAGGAATGGTTCATCCTTTTAGGATAAGCTAAATTTTTGTTGTTGGGAACTGACTTTTGAAAATTGTATTTATTTTGAATAGGATTAAATAGACTCAAAAAAGAAAAATTTCCATTTGTAAACATAAAGGGATAATATGTGTGTGTATGTGTATGTACATGTATGTTCTAGCTTATTTATACCATCATCATCCTTTTAACTGAGTAGTGAATTTTAATGTTTTAACCTTTAGATCTTCACTATATGATCTATTTTGTAGCAAAACCATCTGAATTCAAAGTATAATCTCATTTTCACTTCTTTTCTCAGATGATGAAACATGCTTGGAATAATTATAAAGATTATGCCTGGGGATTAAATGAACTTAAACCTATATCAAAAAAAGGCCATTCGAGCAGTTTGTTTGGTGAGTAGAATATACTTTGATTTCTTAGTGACAGTAACTTCTTTCCAATTGCCTGAACTACTGATAAATGGAAAGAACTCTGTGTGACCCCCCCAGCCAATGTTGCTAGGAAACTTGCACACCTGATGGAGTTATCTGCAAGGACTGTGCACAGTGTGTCCTTCAGATAGGACAGCAGCTGCACATAAGAATGACCTGAGTAACTTTAAAAATTGCTGATGCCTGGGGCATACTTCCAAATATTCTCACTTAAAGGGTATGGGGTGCAGTATCAGAATTTTTGGCTCCCTAAATGATTCCCAGCAGAGGAGCATTTGGTTGTCTGCATTAACTGCTTCCTGTCAGTTAAAAGCTGTGTCTTTATAGATACAGTGGCCAAAGCAACCAGCCGTGGTGATCTTCACTGTATCTCAACTTTGACTGTAGGTTTCTCCTGTTTGTACTACGGAAGAGAAAGTGATGATGGATTAGCCAGTTATTTGAATTTCCACTTATCCACTTTTGCACGCTTTATTGCATTTGGTCCTCACAGCAACTCTCTGTGATAGGTACTGTGGGTATTAATAACATTCCCATTTTGGGAGTAAAGAAGCTAAATAACCAGAAGAATCCGATGGATTCTTTGGGTCACAGAGCTATCCAGTGCCCTTCCTAATTCACTTGACTTCTTTCTGACACCCCCTGCCCCCAAATTTGTCTGTAAGTAACAAGATGAAGGGGATGGAGTCTTACTGTGGGACTTCTGAATTCACCAACAAAATACATGACTTTCCAAATCTTTAACTGAAAATGTTAAATAGTATCAATTCATATAACAAATAACAGTTTCAGCTGACATTATTGAACACTTTATGTTTACCAATGGTCAGTCATGCATCATCTCCTTTATCTTCATTATTATACCCTTTTTATAAGTGATAAAAATGAGGCTCAGAGAACAGCTTTCCCACAGATAGCCACCTCCTAACTGACTGAGCTGGGACTTGAACCCTAGTGTGGCTGACATCAGAGTCTATGTTCCTAATCGTGACACCATGCTTTTCCATTTATTCAGGACCTTCCATGTGTTTGGCTCCACTTCCAGCCCTGGTGCTAATGAAAATAATACAAGTCTTTGCAGAGTTTGTGGCCTAGGGCAGAACACATATGTGTAAATAGGGAATTATGAAAAGCACTAGGTGGTTCAGATGAAGTACTGAGGAACTAGTAGGATCTCAGATAGAGAGAAGAACATTGCAGGGGGTTGCAAGAAAACAGGTACGGAGAGCTGGGAAAAACAGAAGAAAAGAGGCAGGTTGGTTGGTCTATCACAATGACACAATTTGGAGATGAGGAGAGTAGTGGCAGTAGAAGGGACTTAAGACATTTCTAAAATAGTGTTCTCAGGACACAGTGACCAGTTAACATGGGTGATAAGAGATACAAATTGAAGAGGAAAACTAAAACTTCATGATGAGTCAGAGGCCTTTATTTTCTCATTGTTTATTATAACATTTTTTATTAACTTCATTTTTGCTTTTCCCTCTATGAAAGTTGTTTGTACCATTAAGAAATCATTTATATGTTAAATTGCCATAATCTTTATGAAAGAGATTATTTGGTTCTCTGTTAATACATTGATTTTCTTTAAATTTATTATTAAACGTTAAAAACATACTTCTTTTTGCCGTACCTTTTTTTTTACAATTTTCATTGACTTCTTCAGTAAAAGCAGTTTTCATCATCCAGATAAAAACTTCCTCTTTTTTTTTCTTTTTTAATAAAAAAGAGCTTCAGGTATTAGTATAAGGGAATAAAATATTAATAATCCAAATGATATTTATCTCACTCCCTCTTTAAATTAAAATGGGATACATAAGGATTTTCTTACTATAGTAATACCAATATAGTGAGACTTGTTACAAAGAAATATAAAGTTTTCTTATTATAGATGAGGAAAACTTAAATGACTTCTTTAGTTTACTATCAGTGAACATAAAAAATTATCTCAAGTATTCATGATCTCCCAATTCTTTTTTTTTTTTTTTTTTTTTCCCTTTTTGTGACCGGCCGCACTGTGCTCAACCAGTGAGCGCACAGGTCATCCCTATATAGGATCCGAACCCACGGTGGGAGCACTGCTGCACTCCCAGCGCCGCACTCTCCCGAGTGCGCCACAGGCTCGGCCCTCCCAATTCTACTTTAAATAGGAAACTAGAACTATGATCTCAAGATTTCAGAGACAGAAAAGATTTCAAGTAGACCTGCACCTCAAAGAGAAATATTTTGTGCTTGACCAGTTGTGCTCAGTGTAAAGCTAAAATATAAGAAGTAAAAATATTTACTTAAAGCTCCTAATGACTTAGAAATGAGATATCAATGAAAATATAAATCCGTTATTATATTTCCAAATGCCCACTTTAAACTATTCCCCCCATGTCGCCCTGAATCCATAGTGCTATTTTTCAAAAAAGTTATATTTAAAAAAAAACTGAATTACAATGAATGTGTTATGAAATGAATGTCCAGGATTTTTCTCCTTATCGTTAGATAAGATTTAGAATTACTTTATATTTTTTTGAAAATTAAGCATTTTAATATTCTGTTACTTATAGTTTTCTAATAATTTCTCAATTTTGTATTTGAAAAGAGTGTGCCAATGAAATAATTTCTATTTATATTAATATATTTGGTCTTTGATAATTCAGAACACTATCTATAGGAAGTATAGAACCCAGTCTTTCTGCAGCCATTCATTGGGCATCATTGTCACAATTGTGCAGGGATGCCATGAGGCACATGGAGATGAACAAGACATGACTTCTCTGTTCTAAGAAAGCTTACAGACTAAAAGAGATGCACACAACTAATTTTAATACAAGACAGAAAGTGACGAGTGCCAGAGCAACATAAAGTCTCCATGTCACTGGAATTCAGAGGAAATAAACCACAGAGTCAGGACTGGTTAGGTGGGGCTGGGGGGAGAGTTAGGATTAGTCAGGTTTCATAGAGGGGGTGAAATTTCATTTTAGAGTACTGGTTTCTTAGAGCTATCACTAAACAATTTTTAGTGTAATTATATTTAGACAGTTTTGCATAGGTGCACTTCGATGTAATTACATTAAATTTAATATGTACATTGCTCCTTTGTTTTAGGCCTATTCTTTTCTTGCTAGAGAATGCAATCACAAATGGAATTTCTAGAGTTTATTTTCTACAACTCAGAAGAAACTTTAAAGATTAGTGCATCAGCCTGTATGGTCTGCGATAATTTTCAGTTTGGATCTGGTGCAGTTTTTGTATTTTCTTTCCTTCGCCAAAAGAATTGTAAACTCTGCAATGTTACTTGTATTAGTCCATTTCTGTTGCTTATTACAAAGTACCTGGAACTGAGTAATTTATAAGAAAATGAAATTTATTCCTTACAGTTTTCGAGGCTGGGAAGTCTAAAATCCAGGGAACACATCTGCCAAAGGCCTTCGTGGTGACAGTGACCCAGGGGTCTCACATGGCAGAACGGCAGAGCAGAGAGAGAGATACTCTCATGTACCCTCCTTTTAAAGCCCTAAGAACCATGCCCATGACCACCATTATTAATCTATTCACTATGGTGTGGTACTACAATCTAATCACCTCTTCAGGGCCCCACCTTTGAATGTCCCTAATAGGATTTCCCACTTACTTAACAGTCACAGTGGGGATCAAACTTTTAATACATAAAATTTGAGGGACACAATTCAATCCGTATCATTACTGCTTGTTAATAAATATTGTAATACTCTCTCTCTTTCCTAGATATGGTCAATTTGCATATATGTATCTGTCAAAAGTATTTTACCAAATAAATTTTCTCATGTTTTCAGGTAACATCAAAGGTGCAACTATAGTAGATGCCTTGGACACACTTTTTATTATGGACATGAAAAATGAATTTCAAGAAGCAAAATCATGGATTGAAAAAAATTTAGATTTTAATGTGGTAAGTTTAAGTTGCTAATTCAGTCTTTAATTCTTAATTAACATGGATAAATTCTATAGTAGCAGATTATTGTATTTTAATGTACCTTAGCGGAAATAAATATGTCTTTAATTCTAACACAGGTCTAGGTGGCTTCATTGCTCATGTTTTTATCTGTGCCATGGTGCAGCTAGCAGCAGCAGCCACTTTCCCAAACATAAGGCTTCAAACTTTGTTGATCAGATACTTTCAGTAAAAAATTTTGACAGTATATATAGAGAGAGAAATAGATAAATAGTATAGACAGAGAGTACATATATATGGATAGATAGATATGTGCTGTCGTTCTCAGCAAATACTTCAAGACCATCATTGTACAGTGGGGGAAAGATTCAGAATTAAGGATAGTGGATACATCTAACAGTTCTTGATAATTTTGATTGGGTGGGACTGCATCTTACCCGATCTAATTTGATAGTAATTGTTTAACCTCATCATGATGTTGACAAAGAACTTGTTCTAAGAAAAGGAAGTGTGTTGGCCCTGGCATTTCTTAGTCATTCACTATGTTTGAATTATTGGTATTGTTTTTAATCTGAGATTACTTTGCAGAAATCCTTATAAGCCTCTTCTCTGTCTGTTAAGCATTTGATAATATCTCTAAATCCTCATAACAAGGCACAAATAATGTGCTATATGTTGAAAATGGACAAAGAATGAGGCTTCCCTGCCCACCCCTCTGCTTTGTGGCAGTCTTGTGTTCCCAGAGACCAAGTGAGGACAACAGTGTCACTCAGAATATTAAAGATCAGTGAAACTAAGTCTTTTCCCCATCTCTTTGGATTAAAAACACATATAAATTAAAAGTTTTATTATTTTGTTCCTTTTCCTCTAATTAATTGCTGTATATACCATGTTTGGGAGACCTTAAGGACAGGCAGATGAGTCTACATTTAATCTGCCTGATAACTGAATCTGGAATGTAAAGGAGATAATATTCCACTATAAAGGGACCTTGGAGATCAATGTGTTAAGACTTTTTTATTTTAAACATGAGAAAACAGGCATAAGGAGCTAGTGATTTACTCAAGGTTATAAAGCTTGATAGGAATGACATCTGATAGCTCTGATATAACTGATAGAACTAAGTATGAAAAATTAAAGCAATGGAAAAAATTACATTTCCTTTTTGCGGGTTCTCTTGATAATACTTTTGTCTTATTATAAATAAATTCAACTACCTACTTTCAAAAACCTACAGATTTATCTTCAGCTATATATGAGATTGATTGTTCTCTCTCTCTCTTTCTCTCTGTCTCTTTAAGAAAGGGTGGGGGGATAGTAACTAGAGTCCTCCAAAATCTGATGATGGAAGACAGGAAGTAGACTTTAATAATACTAGACCTGTGAAAAGTGTCCAAGTTCCTTATTAATCCTTGTGTTGGTCTGTCTGATAATTACAGCATTGTTGCTCCAAACCTCCTCAAATACTGCAGCAATTCCTTACTTTCATGGCCAGTGGTAGTCTGAAGAGCTCTGGACTTGGGGTGGGGGTGGAGACTGGGGAGCAGTTTTATTTAAAAAGACTAAGCACAGAGGTCTCTCAAGGTAACAGACCATGTTACTGTAACAGAAGGCAGTTGGCTGGCCTCAGACCACCACCGGATGACATAAATGTGTTCCATGGGCAGAGGAGACCTGTGCGAAAGCAGAATGGATCTAATAGAGAATATCACAGTGTGCAGAAGAGACCAGCAACCAGTTACCTGGCTTCCTTACTTGTAAGATGAAGGGATTGGACTAGCTTTGAATGATTGCTAAGATACTGAACTTTGAAGTTTTGTTTATTTAAAATTTTATTTTTGTTTTTTGATAAGATTTTGTTCAATTAGTTGACAGTCCATTTTAGGAATGTTCATAATAATCTTGGGCTATACCTTTAAAATGTACTTTATACTATAGCCACAGGTATCAAATTTCTGCTTATTATTCTATTCTTAATGTAAGAGGTATTGAAACATATTTGTTGCAGTTCTCTCTTTGGGTATTACCATATTTTCCCTTGTTAAGAATATAAGTTATCAATAATTTCCAAATGATAGTGCTTTCCATATTAAAAATAGCAACATATAAATTCAGGAAAGGTATATTGATTTATTCTTCTAATCATTACATTATAAAGTTCTTCAGCTTACTCTTTTCTAGTTGGTTTTAATATATTACGTGTGAGAATTTGTCTTATATTCACCCGTTCTACCTAGAGATTCAAGTGATTATTTCAACAATTATATGATTTTCCTTTTAAAAAACATTGAAGGAAAAAGAGAGAAAAATTATTTAATTTTTTATGGATAACATGTAGTGTAATTCCAGATTGGATATATTATTGCTTGTATTTAAATTGACACTTTTCCCTGGTGAGGTATTTTAATCAACAGTGTGAGAGTATTGTAAAAAAAAAAAAAAATTAGTGTGTCCAAATTTATTGCAAGGGACAAGTAAAAATGAAACTGAAACAAGCACTATTGTTGAGAGTTGGTTTATCCTACGGTGCTCCTAAGTGTAAAGAAATCTTAGTCAAGAATAAATTTGTTTATATGTGAAATATTTAATTTATATCACTTAAAAGTGTAAAGTCAATGCTATTTCTTGGTTTATATTGTCATTAGCTAAAACTCATTTTCTTTTCATTAAGGCTTAGCAAGTTGATTCATTTTGCATACTTTGTAGCACAAAGTTCAAATCATTTTAATAACCGGCTTAAAATAAATCACTGGGATAATATGTTCAGGGGAGTAGAAGCAAGGGCTTTGTGGATGGAGCTTTGTGTATAGTTCAGTTATCTATAGCAGCACGTAGATATTGGCAGAAAACCCTAAGGTAGACTCTGTGGATGAGTTCTCTGATTTTAATTCAAAGTAATCCTAGGACAAAGAATCTAAAACTGATTCTTGGTTATTTATTATTCATTCACTCATGTATTAATTATTTACTAAGTACCTTCTCAGGATTAGGTACTTATCCTTATGGAGCTTCTAGTCTAACAGGAAAAGTAGTCAGGGTACCCTAGCGACAGCAGGGTTGTCTAAGGAAGGAAGAAAAGAGAGTGGAAACTACTTTTTAATGAGTACCTGATACATACCACGTATTATGCTAGATGAATTTTTTTCATAGGTTATGTCATTCAATCTTTGTGACAATTATACAGGCTAAGTATTTTCCCTATTTTTATCCATGAAGAAGTGGTTAATTAATCTGCCTAAAATTAGGCAGCAAGTAAAGGCTGTGGTTTGAACATGGTCCATCTAATTCAATGATCCTGGGTTTTTTTTATTGGAAAGGAAATGCAAAGAGTTGAGAAATATATAAATAACCAGGAAATTTGAGTCTTCTAAGGATAGGCATGTTATCTTAATATCACAGTACTCATTAGTATATCATTCAATAGATATTCAATAAATGTTTGTTAAAAGAATGAGAAGTTAAGCTATCTTGTCCTACTTCTCAACAGACTGTGCTATACTCAGCTGGAAGATGAGCTGACAGGGCACAAGGATAGCTGTCATGTTTTTGTATATGTCATATATATTTTTTATATGTGTCATTTTTATATAGTTAGAGATGATCTGGAGTTCAAGTGCAGTGGATCTGTGTTTACCTAACCTACTTCCAGAACAGATTTGTGGTTTCTCCTGATATAAGATCATTAACATAAGACCAAATCATCAAGGATTTCCTATTTGGGCATTTCTTAACTGGCACTTTAAAAACATATTGATTACCTATATTCTTATATGAAAAATATTTAAAACTGTCCTCAGTAACAAATTTTGCAGAATATGTAGCATTGTTCTCCAGATAACAATTTTTTTATATGAGTATAAAACAATGCTATTAAAATTATCCTTAAAAAGCATTTTTCTACACTGAGGTAGAAAAGTTAAGAACTCGATATGAGAGGCAGTACTTTGAGAATAACAAAGGATAGATGATTAGCTTGCTACAGACTCTAACCGGTAACACACTAAAACTGTGATCTTTGGCAAGCACCTAGATTGTGACTTTGGTTGTAATGAGCACCTTATGTTTTGAATAGTAGAGCTACTGGTGGCAGAGGTGAGTTTTTTAAATTAAAAAAAATCCATACTGTTTATCCAGTTTGAATGCCATCCTACTTTTCAAGAAAATTACCTGTAGGATTCCCTGTAGGAAGGATATAAGTTGACTTCAAGAAGCAACTTTGTATCTTCTCAAATGCCTACATGAGCACTTGGCTTAGGTTCAGAGTCCCATGCCATAGAGAGTGAAAGAAGTGACTTTTGCCTTCGTATTGCCCCTGAGAAAGGTCTATTTTAGAGCAGTATTACATCCCCTGATGGGTGCAGGAACCTAAGTTAATTATCCTATTGAATGGAGTGATTTAGTATTTTCCATCTGAGTGCTGAGGAATACCTGCCAACAGTGATGATTTGGGTTTTGGCTATCAGAGGGTACTGAACTGTTCTCTCTGGTTTCAATCCGTTGGGCTGCTACTTGAGACCTTTCTGGAACCATGTGGTAAAAACCACCTATGAAAATAGAGAAGATGGTTATTTGCCTATCTTTGTGGCCCAGAGAACTTGTACTTTGTTAATAGTCTGAAGAGATTTATCATGTTTCTTAAATATGAAACTAAAAGCTGCTAGGACACTGTCATACTGTTACACTATGAAATACAGATGGGCCCTCTCTTACCATGGTTCCACTTACAATTTTTCTACTTTACAGTGGTGCAAAGTTGATGCATACTCAGTAGAAACTACTTTGAATTTTGAATTTTCATCTTTTCCCAGGCTAGAAATATGTGGTACGATACTCTTACACGAGATATTCAATACTTTATTATACTATAGACTTTGTGTTAGATGATTTTGCCCAAATATAAGCTGATATAAGTGTTCTGAACACTTTTAAGTTAGGTTAGACCAGACTATTCAGTAGGTTAGGTGTATTAAATGCAAGTTCTACTCACCATAGTTTCA